CTCTCGTGTACTCGGCCCCCCCCCCCGCCGGCGCGGCCCCCCATCCTCGGAACTGGAGGCCCTCGGAGGAGGCCATCAGCTTGCTGGCGGCGCGTCGCGGCACGCGGGGGGTGCGCGGGCGGACACGCGAGTGCGGCTACTGTGAGGGGCAACGTTAGGTTTGGGGACCGTTTCTGGCTCAGGGGGGGGCATCGACCAGAAATCGGCGACGCGTCACCGTTGGATCGGCGAGAAATCCACCACGGCGTCACTCAGCTTTCTTGCGCGGGGTGGCCTATCAGATCCCTACGGGCGAGGAGCGGGCCATTCAGGGTCGAAGCCACCCCTCATGAGCCTATCCCCCGCACCGTTGCCCCCGATGGCGCCAGCTGCACGCCTGCACCGGCCCTGGCCAGGCCTAGGCATGCTGGGACCAAAGGCCGGTGCACGCGCAGGACGGAGGCACAATGAGAAGAAGCTGGGACCGGTGGTCCTCAGTACGTGGGCTAGCGGCCGGCGCCAACATGCGCATGCCAACCGAAGCCCGTCGACACGACGCAGGCGGTGCGGCGAGCGCTGCCGCGAGCTACGCGCAGTCACTAGAGCTGCACTGGGTAAACACACACTAATTAGACCAGCGCACGTCCTGAGCATCATCGATCGATCGTTGGAGGATAGATTGGGGATCTCCGAGAGCCGGCCAAGTCTGGAGAGGATGTGCCGGGCGCCGCGGCCGCTGAAGGCTTTGAGAGCAGACCAGACCGCTCTGAAACGACTTATCCCTGGCTTATAAGCCTGCCTGACATACGCCCCCCTGTTGGGCGCCCGAGTTATCCGGGGTAACTCGGGTCCGGGGTAACTCGGGTTTGGATTCCCGAAAAACGAACCCGAGTTATCCCTGACCCGAGTTACCCCTGATGATTCGGGGCTCTGACCCTGGCTTGGCCGGGATGGCGTATACACTAAAGGACTCCTAGATGGGGCGGGAGCTGCTGTGGTCGGAGAATCGCGCCGCATCGCCAAGGCATCGCCGACGCATCGCCGATGCATCGGCGACGTCGCCGGTGCATCGGCGACGTCGGCGCGGAGAATATCGGGCTCCACATCGAGCCGCATCGGCGATGCGGCGCGATCCTCCGACTCCATCTACTCAGACCCAATCTGGGAGGCTTGGAAACACCGGACCTTGGCCCAGGACGGTGCCCTGTCAGGATCGGGGGAGGTCTCTGTGTGGTTAGGTCGGGCCTGTCCCCCTACAGGCGGACTTTGGACGAAAACGAAAAACAAAAAATACTTATATATATATATATATATATATAAGAAAAACGATAATCAGAAAATGGTACCCTGACGATGTATAGACTGTTTTTTGAATATTCCTCCTGTAAAGGGACAGGCCCGACTTAAGTGTGTGGCGTCCTCCAAGGGGTCGCGGGACGCAAGGCCTCGTGGCGTCGCGGTCCGAAAGCTGTCGTGGCGACCCACGGCGAGAATGCGGATAGGAGGGGAAGGATGATGGGCCTGTTTTCCACCACCATCACCGTACATTGGAGGGAGAGGGGGTCCTCCTCCTGCTCCTCCTCCACCTCCTCATCCTCCTCCTCCTCTTCGTCCTCCTACTCCTCCTCCTCCTCCTCCTCCTCCTCCTCCTCCTCCTCCTCCTCCTCCTCCTCCTTCCCCCCTCCAACTTATGGTGGTGGTGGAAAACAGGCCCATCAAAGGAGGGAAAATTGTCTGGGCGAAACTCGGCCGTGAGAACGCGGGTCAAGAACGGTGGCCCTAGTCGTCACCGAGAACTAACGGACCCCTAACCCGAAGGACGCAGTGAAGACGTGGCCTCACTGAGGTTCCCGTCTCCGCATCAAAGATAATACATATGTGCTGTGTGGTGCGATACATCTGCGGAAAAACAAACATGTTCCCTAATGTTTTAGGCCCTCCTAACTCAGGTCCCTCCATAGAGTTCCTTTTTGAATTACTCAAGTCGCGACGAAAGATGACCGGAGGAACGAAGAACTGCACAGACATCAACTTTCCAAGGTCCCTCTGGCGCGCCAGGGAGGGGTGTCTGTCGCCGATCCCCTAAAAACGCGACCTATGCGAGGGGGAGGGGGGGGGGCGGGTGGGTCCGATAATCGGGGAATCGCAGGGCCCCTAACAAAGACAATCTCAACTCAGCGCGGGTCTCCGCAAGCTTACAGGCAACGCGCACAGTAAGTACACACGAGACAGATGCAAGGTCCTGGGTAGGCCATGCTGGCACTTCTCGAGCGGGGCGCGGCCAGCGAAAGTGGCCAATGATGGACCGAAGGAGAAGGGTGCAAGGCCAGCCTTTGAAGATCGCTTATCCTTACTATCCGCGTTGCCTGCCTGGTTATGCCGCGCATCCCCCCTCTCGGCGGAAGGCTCGGGGGGAAGTGAGAGGGGGCGCGGGCCTTCTCCGAGAGCTCGGAAGTCCCCAGGCCCCCCGAGAAATCTTCCGAGTCTTCTCCGCGGACACGTAGAGCCTCTCAGAAGGCGCGAGGGCTTCTGAAAAGTCCCGTCGCCTTCTGTGAGGGTATTCTCCTTCTCACTTCCTCCCTGCGGGCAAGACTTGTGCCCATATCCACTGCAGCTTGGAGTTTCGGGCTCCCTCCCCCCTGGCCCCTTATGAGGCCTGATGTTTGTCCATATCCAGTGCGCCTCGGCCTTGCGGTGCCCCTTCCAAGAATAACCAAGACGCACTTGATACTCCCCAATCAAAGCTTGCACTGAAGGGGTCCTAGCGGGAATTGAAAGATTTGGCCACAATTTACCGCCGATTTTGGTGGCATGCTGGATCCCAGGCTCCCAGGTTCCTGGTTATTGGTTCCGGGCCGATTTCGATGGGTTCTGGGTTCCTGGGTTCCCGGTCGATCTCCTTATCGATCTCTTTATCGATCCCACGATTCATGAATATTTGATTTCACCATCGATCAAAAGTTTTCAAAGCATTCGCTGATTGGAGTTTTCTCTGGTGTAATGGATTTGAAAATTGCCCGCACCCCCCCCCTCGCTCGCCGTCGATGCTCGGAGGGCAGACGCCAAGACAGCGTCGGAGGAAGCCTGCGAGCACGCCCGGGGAACCGCACAAACGCAGGGCGAGCAGGGCGGCGTGGCCGGCCTACGATGTGCCACCCTGCTGTGGCCTTCGAGGGGGCCCCAGGGGACCCTTTGACGGGGCCCAGGGCCCAGGATCCCCCATATCGTCCTGGAGTTTCTAAATTTTTGTCCCCCCCCCACCTCCCCGTAGTTTCCCATCTCTTCCTGAGAGTCGACGACGACTTGCGTCTGTGTGTCTCTTGTCCAGCTACAAGAAACTGAAGGGTTTTCGAGTGTGGGGCCCTGGGAGGCGATGCGCGCTCGACACGTCGCTGGCGTGCCGGGCAGACCCGGTTTCGATACTTTTTTGTTATGGGTGCTCGAAACTATTTCGGGGATGTTGTCCTCAAGCACGATGGAAACAACCTAAGCCTCTGGTCACTCTTCCCCATGCTCTGATCAGCAATTGAGGGTCCCCTTCAACCCTTTGGGAGGGAACCTAACAGTCAAGAAGCCCGAGACGTTAGGGATTGTGGGCCTTCCAAAGCCGCCCAGATCGTCTATCCCCATTGCAATGATGGGGACCTAACGTAGGCTACGTCATCAATGTGTTCGATTTAATTGGTGTTAATCTCGATGGTGTTCGGCGTCCGAAGGGGGTTTTCGAGGGCTCAAGGGCCATCAGAAGCCTAGCTAGTTATCTGGGATGGTAAAGTGGCACTGGGGAAAGGGTCGACAACTCTTCGGCCCGCGCATTGCACCGTCAAGCGACGTCGGAGGTCAGAGTACGAGCATCGAGTAAGAGCAAGACCGCGCGGGAGAGGCGGCACAGTGGAGGCAATGCAGCAGACTGCGCGGATAGGTTCTCCGTCGGCATGGCATGCGATGTTCGCCTCAAACTATCAAGCGCAGCCGAAAGCTTGGAGTCGTGCAATCCGTGCTTCTCTCTGCTGTCCAAGTTTCCTGGGGAATCTCTGGGTGTCCGCTGGTGCTGCGGCAGATGAACGAGCTGGAGGCAAAGGCGGCAATGAATTCGAAACAGGAGCCACGAATTGGCATAGTGCATCGCGTACCCCCCCCCGACTTGAGTGTGCTTGGTGAGATCGCAACGCGCCGATGCATCTGAAGCACAAAAGGAACGCAATGGAGATGGGATTGGCTGCACGACAAGCCGATACTCGCCACCTTCATTACTAGGCGCCTTGTGTATCCTTGTGCTAATGGATAGTGCGCCGTGGAGTGGCATTTCACGTGTATGGAAGACAGAATCGAATATTCCACCTGGTGAACCACTGTTTGGGGTCACGCCAATTCGCAGTCCGCTCAGCGGCCAGAGCAGCAAGCAAGCACCACGCACGTAAAATATAGCCACTCAACCATACAAGTCAAATACCCGCGAACAGGCCAATCACGGCATTGAGCAATATGTCAATGCGTCGACCCCAGTGCCAGGCGCAAAAGCCGCATAGCTGTAAGGCCGGCGCGTAAGCAAATCCGCACAGAACTGACACATGCGAACTGGACTATTACGTGTGCTGAACCAAGTAGCAACCGTCATATACCAACACGCATGGGCCATCCAGCCTGGACAAACGCAATGAGAAATTGGTCGCACGTAAAAGGCCCATCACGTTCCAGCTTATCTGAAACCACGTGAACCTTATCGAGATTTAAGCATCCATTCTCATCACGTTTCAGATTTGCTGTCGTACCCCTACTGATCGATTCCCTGCTTCCTTAGTGCTGACCCTCACGTGTGACAATCCTGCACAGCACAGGCGTACTGTAGGTATTTGCACATGTGAATGGTTGACAAGTCCCGCTGGACTTCGTCCTGATTCGAATTACGTTGGTGTGCACCGCCGCTTGTGATAGTCGTTGAAGCAACTACGCATCTGCACTTCACCGCATGCTGCAAACAAGTGCGTTCTGCTCAAGAAGAAGAGCGAAATGCCTGTTGTCTACGCGGTACTTGCTCGGTAATCCGGGTGCCTCGCGGCTCTGGCAGGACATCAAACCCTGCAAAAACAGCCAGGACAGCAAAAGCCAAGAACCTAGCGCATGACCAATACGATCACCACTGTTACCACAGCAGCGTCAACATGGTCTCAAGAATGGTCGCACGCCATGATGGCTTGTCGTTCGCATGTCCACCTCGACATTCGATGAGCGCCCTCTCCGCCATCGATCGGGCCCCATTCGGGTGGCCTCTCCTACAGTCAGATGCCATAGGCAAGCAACTTTAGGATCTCCTACAGCGACATGTAGACCGAAGAGGCAAACACTCGGAAGGGCGTCATTGGTAAGCTACTGCAGCCGCAACTTAGGCTGACTGTGCTCAGACACTTGCGGGCTGGCCTGTATTCGCAGACTGCGACTGCGCTCCATCGCTCTCCCCCCTCGCCCTCTCCGTCTTCTTATCTTTCACGCGACCTCGTCGCTGTGGTCGTCGGTACTTTTCCTCCTCCTCCTCCTCCTCGACCTCCTCCTCGTCAACCTCCTCAAAATAACCAACCCGACCTCCTCGTGCGCGTTCTGACGAGCTTTCCGAAGCGGATCCAGCCGTGGCGGCGAGGGACCAACCAAGAGACCACGAAAGAAAAGAGAAACGTCAAACTCCTGCTTCGTTCCTCCTGGTCTTCATCCCCGTGTCATCGCCAATAATATGCTCACGACGTGGACTCTCAGAGCTCTATCCAGGCACTTTTTTTTGTCGCGGGCCGTTTCCTGTAAGCCTGGGGGCCTAAAACAACTACCTCTGGGGGCGGCAGCAGAGATGTTGTCGTGGTCGTCGTTGTTGTCGCCGTCGTCGTCGTCGTCGTCGTCGTCGGCGTCGGCGTCGTCGTCGTCGTGGTCGTGGTCGTGGTCGTGGTCGTGGTCGTCGTCGTCGCCGTCAGACATCCCACATCGCACTTTCAATTACGAGTCCTGGCCTCGGGAGGCCCAAGCACCAGCAAAGCCTGCGCCGCCACTTTGCCCGCGACGCGAGCGCGCAGACACTGAAGGAAGAAAACGCATGAACGTAACCTTTCCAAGGTCCATTAGAAGCCTCCTAGATGGGGTCCGAGTAGATGGGGTCGAAGGATCGCGCAGCATCGCCAATGCATCGCCGATGTATCGGCGATGCATCGGCGACGTCGGCGATGCATCGGCGACGCGTCGGCGAAGGGAAAATCGGGCTACGCATCGAGCCGCATCGCCGATGCATCGGCGATTCGGCGCGAACCTTCGACCCTATCTGCTCGGACCCCATCTGGGAGGTCCGTCGCCCCTGGCGGGGCGACGCGCACATAGTATGAGTATGTTGGGGTGACGCCGAACCCAGATCGGCCAGGGCCCTGCTGCGAAGCCCCTAGCCTGGATCAGCCGTGTGGTAGCTCCTCAAGCTTGCGTCAGTGGAGGGCGGACAGAGAAAATCGGCCCCATGTGGCTCCCAACGCCAGGCCAGAGGGAATCGGCTAACCTTCGCTGGCAACTCATGGGCGCCTCCCATGCCATCTTGCTGGCTCTTGCAAATCGACGCTCACCGACGCAAACTCGACGCTAATCGACGCGAGTCGACGCTAGCTGGCGCTAAATTGGCGCTAATCGACCCTAAATTTGCGCTTTCTCATCGATTGCCAGACGCTAGCGCACGGTTGCACCCTAGAGGAGGAATCTCTAGGACATACAAGGCTCCCATGATTTGCCACCGAAGCTGACCTGGAGGGCTATGATGGCGCTTTCAAACGGGGTTGGCCAGCGAAAGTCGCCAAGGATGGGCCGAGGGGGCAAGAATGCAACGTTAGCCTTGGACAACTGCTCATCCTTACTCTGCGACTTGACTGTAACGGGGAATACGCCCTCAGAACACCTTGCAAACGCTGGAGCGTTTTTTTCCTCCGTTTCCTAGATGGGCATCTCATCTTACCATATGGGACGGCCTTTCTGCTGCGCTCTCAGGTCCGGGATCGGCTAGTGGCCCACCTGCTAGTCTTGCTGTCCGTTCTCTGCGCGAGGGTAGCCTTGTTTGTTGGTTGTTTGTTTCTTGTGTTGTTGGGTGTTCTTTGTTATAGAAGAAGAAAAACACCATAAACATCAACTTTTGGCGCTCCGCGCGGATCTTGGATCTGCGCTGGACCCCCCCTCCCTGGCGCGCGGAGCGCATCAGGGGCGTCGCCAGAGGCGCCGCCGGGGGGTCCCAGCGCGGATCCAAGGCACGGAGCGCCACAAGTTTGTGCTTGTGGCGTTTTTCTTCTTCTTCTTGTTCCTTTGGTGTTAAGCCTTGGAGAACTGCCCCTCCTTGCGATGCGACTTGACTGCCTGTGTTAGGTCGGGCATGTCCCCCTGCAGGCGGACTGTGGGCGAAAGCTCAAGGATACCCCACAAATATCCCAACAAAAATCAAACAGACTGCTAAGCACATCGTTCCCAGACTACGGTCATGCGCGATAAGGATGCAAGGGCCTTGGACGCCCATTCTGAACAATTTTCGAGCGGGGCGCGGCCAACGAAAGCGGCGAAGGATGGACCGAGGAGGCAAGGATACAATCGGGTCGGGCGAAAGGGGAGGATAGCAAAGGGGGGGTTTGAGAATCAGCTCGCGTAGCTGATTTTCCCGGCGCCTCCCGGCGCCAGAGGCGGCCATGTATCGAGGAACGGGCCCCTTGGTGGGGCCGAAACCAGCTGCATGCAGCAGATTTCGTACCCCCCCCCTTTCCCAATCCCCACCTTTGTCCGGCCCGATACAAGGGTATGCTGCCCATCCTTACTACGCGGGTTGACTGTACTGCTAGCTGCTAGACTGTTTTTGCATACTCCTCCTGCAGAAAAACGTGGGGAGGAGGAGGAGGAGGAGGAGGAGGAGGAGGAGGAGGAGGGAGGAGGAGGAGGAGGAGGAGGAGGAGGAGGAGGAGGAGGGAGGCGGAGGAGGAGGAGGAGGATCAGCGGGATGGGGAGGGTTGACCGTATTGCTTTACTGCTGTCTTTGCATACCCCTCCTGCCGAGGCACGTGCCCGACACGACCCGAGGAGGCGCGGGGGGAGGGCCGCGCGCGGCGCTCCTGCGTCGGGGGCCCCCCCTTGGACTTGGCCACGGCCGCCGGCGCCTCCCCGCGCGCTGCGCGGGCCGGCGCGGGGGCGCGTGGGGGTCGACAAGCGCGGTCGAGGAGGGAGGAGGAGGGAGGGAGGAGGAGGGAGGAGGATGAGGAGGAGGAGGAGGGAGGAGAGGGAGGAGGAGGGAGGAGGGAGGAGGAGGAGGAGGAGGAGGAGGAGGAGGAGGAGGGAGGAGGGAGTATGAGGGAGGAGGAGGGAGGAGGAGGAGGAGGAGGAGGAGGAGGAGGAGGAGGAGGAGGAGGAGGAGGAGGAGGAGGAGAGGGAGGAGGAGGAGGAGGAGGAGGGAGGAGGCGGAGGAGGAGGAAGGAGGAGGAGGGAGGAGGAGGAGGTACTCGCAAAGTAGCTACTCGCAAACGACCTGGATCCGCCGCGGGGGATGCGCGATATAACATTACATGGAGGAAGACATAGATTTGTTCTGGCCGTTTGCGAGTAGGTGCTCTGCGCGTAGTGGAACGCGCCAGGTGAGGGGGGACATCGGGCATGTGTCGACATTGCGTCCCCAAACATGATCGCACCCAAAAACAAAAATCAGGACTGGATTTGTTTTGCCAATGTCGGCATCGGGGGGCCCTCGCCGGGCCTCGGGACAGTCAAAACACGACTCAGGATGAAAAACCGGCCCCGGGGAAAGGGTCGGGACTTCTGGGGACGCCGTCCAGAAAAAATCAGGACGTCGCATGTCTGGGTCGCCCACAAAGCGGTGACAGGCCCGCGATAGGAGAGCGTTTTTCCCCGTATCCTCGGATGGGGCCCTTGGTGTTCCCCTATAGATAAGGCTCTTGTTCATAGTCACGCGACTCCAGGAACAAACCCTCCTCCTCCTCTTCACCTCCTCCTGCTCCTATTTCTCACTCGGCCTCTCTCAGATACACTCCGACTCATTCATACTCATTCAGTCTCAGACTCACTCATACTCAGAGCTACTCATACTTTCTCGTACTCAGACTCACTAACACTCATATCTGCTCACGCTCATATACACACATCCGCCACCGTGCCGCTTGGCACGGAGCGGACATGTACTCAGGTCCTGTCACTACCCCTGCAAGCCTCATTCCTCACTCATCAGGAGTTATGTAAGGGTTCGGAGCCCCTCGGCCGAAATCTCCTGGGGGCATGACTCGTGACCCCTGAGCTCCCCCGAGTGTTCTCGCATGAAGTTTTCGGGCCCAAGGGGGCCCCAAGACGGGCCAAGAGGGCCCCAAGAAGCCTCCAAGACGGTCCAACTAAAAGACCCGCGTCGCCGAACGATCGCTCCAAGACGCTCAAGATGGCCCCCAGACGGCCCAAGAGGATTTCAAAACGCACAAACAAGCATTCGCCTGTTCGGATTCCCGACGTTCCTAAATGGGGCCCAGGAGGTCTCCCAAACCGCCCCAAGACGGCCCAAGAGGCCTCCAAGATGACCCCAAAACGGCCCAGGAGGGCACCCGGATCATCCTAGAGGTGCCCACAACGGCCCAAGAGGGCCCCAAGACGCCACCGAAAGGGGCCCGAAAGAGGGAGCTCCAACCGAACATCCGAGCCTTCCGCCCCAGGAGGCCCCCAGAAGGGCCAAGAGGCGCCCAGGAGGCGCCAAGAGGCCCGCCCCCAAGAGGCCCCCAAGAGGTCCCAAGAGGCCCTCAAGAGACCCAAGAGAGGCTCCAAGAGGCCCTGAAACGGTCCCCAAGAGGCGTCCGAACTTTCTCCAAAAGGCCTCTGGAAACATCCCGAGAGTCTCCAATGGACATCAGATAGACTGCACACCCACAACCGAAGCACGGTAGCGGGATGAACCGAAGGACATTCTATACTCAGTCATGCTCCGACTCTGACTCATTCATACGCAGGCCCTCTCATACTCAGACTCACTCACACTCTCGCCCACTCAAACTCAGACTCACCTGCGTTCGTACTCACTCGTGCTTGGGCAAACTAACACTCATCTATTATTCGCACTCCGATCTACCCATGCTCGAATCGCTCATGCAAGCAGATTGTGAGGATGTTCCAGGCGAGGCGCTAGTCTCGGCACTCCAGGGGAGCCGCCAGGGAGTATTGCACGGGCCCGTTCAAGCCCAGATTCTTGGGATGGCTGAAGCGATTTGCCTGCTTGGGAGCCCAACGCCTCTTGCGTTTGCAACAAATTGCGGGGCCGTCTCATGCGAGGCGCTGGTTTCAACACTCTGAGGGAGAGCCGCCAGACGGGCACTGCACGGGCTCGTTCGCGCCGAGATTGCGAGGATGTCTTAAACGGTTTGCCTGTCCTGGTGCCCAAAACCTGTTCCTGTTTGCTTTCGGGGAAGAGCGTGAGGATGTCTCATGTGAAGCGATGGCGTCAGCACTCGACGGGGGAGCCGCCAAGGGGTATCGCACTGGCCCGTTCGCGCCGAGATTGTGAGGATGTCTTCAGCGGGTTGCCTGCCCTGGTGCCCAACATTTTTTGCGTTCGGAACAGATTGTGGGAATGCCTGAGGCGGTTAGCCTGTTCCGGCCACCTAGATGTTTCCTTAGGTTGTCCAATGATCACCGCGATGTAGCAGTCACTGCATTTGGGCACCCCCAGGGGGGGCCACCAGGGGCGGAGACAGGCCAAGGTTCGCTTCCAGCTTGCTAGGATGTCTCAGGCGGCTTGCATCTTTCAGCTCCCCAGATTTGTTTGTTGTGGTCCAGTGCTCACTGCGATATAGCACGCGTGGCAACTGGGCACCCCAGACTTTCGTTTCTTTGTGGTTCAATGCTCACCGTGATGGAGCTAGCGTGGCTCCGGGGCACCCAAAGGCAGAACCGCCAGGAAAGGGGACACTTGAATATCAAAATTCAGATAGGGGGGAGCCCATGCGGTTCGCGTGCTTCTCCCCCCGAACAACTCACCCACCCACTCACTTACTCACTCACCTTTGTCCCCGTTTCCTCACTCGGACACACCCATTCGCACTCGGAGCTACCCACCAACACATTTTCCTCACTCGGACTCACTCGTCACATTCAGACTCGCTCATACCCAGACCCGATCGTACTCGGACCCAGGCCGACACATAACTACTCGCTCATACTAAGTCTCGCTCATGCTCAATTTCACCCAAACCTATACCAAAACAAACTCATACTTCCTCACGATCAGGCTCGCCCGCCGTCAGATTCATTCATACTCCGACTACCTCGCACCCTGGATCACGCATACTCAGAATTTTATCCATCACGCTCAAGCTCAGAATCGCCCACATTCAGACTCGCTCAAACTCAGACCCGCTCACACTTAGCTCGCTCGCACTCAGACTCACTCATACTCAGACCCACCCGCAGTCACAGCGACTATATCTAGACTCGTTCGCACGCAGGCTCGAACGTACCCGGATCCATTCGCACCCCCTCTGGCTCACATTCAGATCACCCGCGCTGAAGCCCACTTGCAGTAAGCTCAAACGAATCGTTGCCGCGAAATCTAGCTGGCACGGCAGTTGGGCACCCTGAGTGCCAGCAGGCGCCGTGAGTAGCACGCCAAGCGTAGCAACGTCATGCTCGCTTGCCTGACTTGCCGCGCGGACAAGGGCGAGAGGACACGCCCGTGGCTCTTCCACTCGTTTCCTTTGTTTGTCCTGGAAGATGCCCTGAGGAGGAAGAGGAGGAGGATAGGATAGGATAGGATAGGACCGATCGCGAAGCGAAGTACGCACTTAGACGCACTCACACTCAGACCCACTCATACTCATAACCACTCCCACTCAGCCTTACTCACAATCAGACTCACTCGCACTCGGACTCATTCGCACTTCGAGCCACTCACATTCAGATTCACTCACACGCAGACTCATTGACATCATTTCCTCAATCAGACCCACTCATACTCAGAACCGCTGACGCGCACAGACTGTGAGGAAGTCTCGAGCGAGGCGCTGGCTTCAGCATCCCAACGGGGAGCCGCCAGGCGGTGTTGCACGGGCCGGTTCGCGCGCGCGCAGATCCTGGGGATGTCTCAAAAAGTTTGCCGATGCAAGTGCCCAACAGCCTTTGCTTTCAGAGCAGTTTGCAAGGATGTCTCAGGCGAGGCGCTGGCTTCAGAACTCCAAATGGAACCGCCACAGGGTCTTGCGCAGGCCCGGTCGCGCCCAGAGTGTAGGGATGTTTCGGGTGGTTTGCTCGTTGGGTGCCCAACGTTCTTTGCTTCCAGAGCAAATGGTGAGGATGTCTCAAGCGAAACGCTGGTTTCAGGACTCCAAGAGGGAGCCGCCAGGGGGCATTGCACGGGCCCGTTGGCGCCCAGATTCTGACGATGACTCGGGAGCTTTGTGTGAGGTTGTCTGCGGCGAGGCGTTGGTCCCAACACCCGGAGGGGGAGCCGCCAGGGGATATTTCACGAGCCCGTTCGCGCGGAGACAGTGGGGATATCTGAAACGGTTTGCCTGTTTCGGCCCTCCTGGCTTGTCTTTGGATATGTGTTACCCAGACGCCTCTGGTCCCGACCCACTCACTCGCCTCCCCGTTCATCTTCCTCAGTCAGACGCATTCACACGTAGATTTACCCACCAGCATCTTACCCTCACCCAGACTCGCTCATCATACTAAAGCTCAATCGTGGCCTGACACACTCATACCCAGACTCGCTGGAATGCGGACTCGCTCATATCGGGATTCGCTCACGCAGGCTCACGCACACTCACTCTCAGCCATACCGAGGTTCACTCACACCGAAACTTCACTCACACTGAAACTCAGACTAACTCACACTCAGATCATTCTCGCTCAGAGTCACTCTTTCTTATTTATTTTGCTGGTCCGATGCTCGTTCGCTCTTCCATGTGTGCTTCCCTCATCTCTCCTAAAAGATGCCCCGAGGAGGAGAACGTCACTGAAGTCGTCGCTGTCGCCGTCGTCGTTGTCGCGCCCGTCGTCCACGTAGACTCGCTCTCACACCCAGATGCTCACACACCGAGTTCCTCAGCGAGACGTGACAGGAATATGAGATGCACATATGAGGATCTCCGCGTGGAGCGGAAGGAAGGGGGAGGGG